ATCGCCGTCGCCCCGGGAATGCGGGTGGCGAGGACCTCGTACCACGCGTGCAGAGTCGGCCCGACGAGCACGCCGCCCACCAGCATAAAGCGGGCCGTCCTGGCGAAGTCGTAGCTCTCTCGCTGCTCGACAGCATTCTGACACAGATTGTCGCCGAACCCGGCGATGAGCGCGGACGAAGCGCTCTTGACGCGAAGCGGGGCGGAGCCGAGCAGCCTGTCGTATACCCCCACCACGCGCCGAGCGGCCACGGCCATATAGGAGAGCAGCCGCAGGCACGGCCCCTGGCACCTGCCCCCCGCTCGAATCCGTCGGCTGGATCGGCGAGCGAGTTTTCACGGCGGCTGGAGTTTTGTTTTGAGCTTAGCCTTCGGTGTTATGAAACAACGCAAGGCGGACATGGCATATCGCTCTCGGGCCCACAGACATCCCGCACACTCGCCGCACACCCGCCGCCCCCGCGCGCGCCCCACCCCGGCCGGGAGAAAGGGGAGTGACAGTTTGGGATGGCAACAGCCCGAGTATGTTGAGTCCTGGCTCAACAACGCAGATAACAAGAGGAGGTGGTCCGGCCCACAGGTCCGGCTCACGCGCCCCGAGCTGACCCTCTACCGCACTGGTCATTTCCGCCCCCTCGCTCCCAACCCATCCACCCCGCCCCGGGCCGCGCCGCGCGATCTCGGGCGATCTCGCGCTATCTCGGGCGATCTCGGGGCCGCGCCGCGCTATCTCGGGCGATCTCGCGCTATCTCGGACGATCTCGGGGCCGCGCCGCGCTATCTCGGGCGATCTCGGAGCGTCGCTCGCGCGGCGTCACACCTGCTCAAAAAGGAAGGAGGTTGGAGGCAGGAGGTCACGCCCCATCCAGAGCGCCGTCGTCGCCGGGTTTTTGGCCCCCGGGTCGTCGCCCGACGGTTGCTGCGCGGGGCAGCAGACCATCGGACGGCGCGACGACGCCCCGTCCGGCACGCTCCCCCCTCCACCCGGCTATTGCCGCACGAGCGCCCTCAGCGGCGGAATTTTTCCCTCGCGCTTCCTTGGGCCCCCGGCAACGCCGACGGACTTCCCGTCCCCCCACCTGCGCCGCAATCACCGCCGTGATTGTCGGCGCTGCGCCCCTTGGCGCCTGTGCATGTCCCGCGTGCCCGCCCGCCAAGGCTGGTGCCAAGGCCAACTCAACTGCCAAGGCTGGTGCCAGGGCCAAGTCAACTGCCTGGCTGGTGCCAAGGCTCAAAGGCTCTCCTCTCTCTCTCTCCTCCCTCTCTCCCTCCCTCCCTCCCTCCCTCTCACCCCCCCCCTCTTCTCTCCTCTCCCCCTCCTCCTCTCTCCTCTCTCCTCCTCTCTCCTCTCCTCTCCTCTCCTCTTCTCATCCTCTCCCCTCTCCTCCTCTCCTCTCTCCCCCCCTCTCCCCCAGCAGCTTCCTCGAGGCCGAACAGGTAGATCCTCCCTGATCGCTAAGCTACCACAGGGGAAGTAGACGTCGTCCGCCGCCGCCTCCGCCGCCCGCGTGCCTCCGCCCCGCTCAGCAAAAAATCAGCATTATATCAGGAGGTGCCAAAGCCGCAGCATCTCCATGAGGTGAGCGTCGTGCGTTTTGCCGCCGCGTGCCGGATATGGCGGGATATGGCGGGATACGGTCAGATATGGAGAGATACATCAAGATACCGCAAAAGAACCGTCCAGACCAGGGCTCCTTTTCGCAGTGCACTGCGCTCGCATTTGACACACACCCCAGACTTTTTGCAACAAGTCTTTAGCCTCTCACTCTTGGCCTTCCTTGACTCCTTTCTCTGCAAACAGGACCATCACCTGCGCAGCCGCCTTGCCTAGTTGTACCTCCTCGTAGCGAACGAAGTGCGTCGCCCGCGTGCCTTGCTTCGGCTCGTTGTCGTTCGATGCTGCTGGCCAGTCCCCAGAGGTTTTGCCTCCACCTTCCCCGACGCGCGCCGCGACGCTGTCAAAGAGTCGTCATCGTGACTCAGAGGAGACAGACGGACACACTGCTCACTGGTGGTTAGAAAGATATAAATTGGCCGAGGCAACACAAGATTCCGCACCCAAGAATCGAACTGAAACAGAGCACATCCTACATTTCAAGCAGCCGGTTGGCAAGTGAGATGAGCCAATCCTCCCTCTGCTCCGTGCGCGCCTCCTGCCTGCTGAGGGCCGCATCCACGTCGGCGTCGCTCGAGAGCACCCCGATGGGCAAGCCCGTGCTGAGCGAGCGGACCGACTGCAAAAACGAC